CCCAGATGAGGTTTAATATAACAAGGGGATACGTTCTGCCGTGTTACTACCTAAGTGGTACTGAAACACTGGTAATTTTATCCCCTTGATTCAATACAGGGGCAAACATTCCATGTGCTGATCTAGTGCCTTGGACCTGCAATTTTAGAACAGCATTTTCCATGAAGCTACAAAATTAAAAAATCTGTAGACTGGGGAGATTTCATGTATTTAGAGAACGATGAAATACAGGCCCATAATGACTGGAGGAGAGAGAAAGCAAAAATCCCCACAAATGGAGAAAATTCAATTAGAAGGCTCTCTGTTGAGGCAATAGTTAAAGAGAAATGACTTTGGGGATATTCGCATTTTCATAAACAATTTTCATTTCCACAAGAAGAACTCCCCTGTCTACAGTCCTGATTACAAGCCTCTCACAGGAGTAATTTGTAGCTTTTCATAGCTGTAAGTTTTGTAGTTTCTGAAGCTAAGCCGTTTAAAGTCAGTATTTGTTTTGATGTCTTGGTTTGTAGGGGCTGATTTTTTTCATATTGTCCTAATGACTTACCTTATAGATAGAGACCTAAAACCTTCCCTGGAGCAATTGGTTGGATTATATTGAGTAGATCTGCTGCAGCACTTCAAGTATGCTATTACCTATTCATTGGCAATAGAGTTTTCTTAGCAAGAAACGTGGTGACATCTAGGCTATGGGCATGGGATCACTGCCACTGTCTTAAGTCCTCCTTCCTTCCCAGAGCATGCAAGTGATCCTGCGGTTACTGACTGCCCTGCTGCCAAAATCACTAGTGTTGACACTTGGAATGTAAAGGATGGAGTAGCTGGAAAAGCCCATTGAATTGATATGTTTTACTGTAAATTTCGAAAATGTAAACCTCACAAGTGAGGAATGCTGAACTTTCTGGGGTTAAACATCCACTTCTAGGTACCTCTGCTGCTGACTGTACTAGCAAAACACAGAGTGACAGTCCTTCCAGCACACAGTTTCTACCTGAATTAATGGGGGAATCAACAAAAAAAGAATTACCTTTTCCAGGCACCTTATAGTTCCTTAGAGTATCTGTTGGCTGAGTCGCATCTCTTGCAGTACACCACGGATAATATTTCTGCCAGAAAAGCTCAGAAAGAACTACATGTGCTTCTAAAAAAAATGATTTAGTGTTTGTGTGTCAAGATATACAGTCCTTCCTTCATTGAAACAAGGTTTGACTGGGTTCAGTTGTTCTTCATATTCAGATATCATATGATAAGACAGATTTGGGGCAATGGGTTGTTTGGTCCCACGGTCAGGATAGCATCCCTTAGTCCTTTTGGTTTAGTATATGTTCTTATGGCTGCTGTCAGTGTATTAAATCCCAAATTAGAAGCAAAAAAAAGACATAAGCTGGTAAGAAAGTTGTGCTTTAAGGACAAATAACCTAGCATATCACAAAATCAGGACGCAATGATAATTAATACCACTTTCATGTTCTATGCAGTGTATATCTATATGGCTGCATAGTTATGTAACTGTAATTGCTGACCCAATGTTCAGAGAGAGTTATAGTTATTTAGAAAACTTTAAGCCTCATTCTGAATTAATATAAGCCGACACAAAGGGAGCACCTAAATATCTGCTCCATTAATTTTAGTATGTCTTGATTTCTTGTGTTTAAATATGTAGTCTTAATTTTCTGTAATAGACTCAATTATATGCAGTTTCCTTTATGTGCACTTTTTGAAAGACAAGTTAAGTAGGGGAAGAATAAACTGTTGATATTGATTAATATTTGAAATATCAGAACAAGGGCTTAATGACAGACCTTCAATTCAGAAATGCAAATTCCATTACAGTGAAATGGAAATTCACTGTAATAATGGTAATATCCATAATGGATAATTCTGTAAATGTCAACCAAACTCACATTTTTCTAATGTTAACTCAGTTTTTGAGAATCAAGACGCAGTAGTATGGAATGGCTGGTGAAAGTGATAACTTTTTTTTCTTTACTGCCCATGTATGTTTGAACACTATTTCTTTTAATGGATCTGGTCAGCTTTAAGTCTGGTTTCCTTGGTCTTGGCATAGCAATTCTATAGAGACCACAGAAGCAATTCATAGACCATACATAAGCCAAAACCTACTGATCCTGGGTAAATCTGAGGAGGGTTACTAACTTTTTTCAGTGCCAAGCTTTTTAGGTCATCTGAAAATTGAGGGAAAAAATCTAAGAAGGTAATAGGAAACATCATGGGGGGAGGAAGTGTGGAACATGCATTTTTTGGAGATCCCATCTGTGTGTCAGTGACGTAGGAATTGCTTGAGCTATGTTATCGTAACCATAGCAAGGCTGATAGCCTGGCATGGCTCAGGGCAGGCAGGTTCTCACACAGCGATTTGGTGGTGGAAGGAGAAACAGTAAGGTCTCGAACCACATCACGATCTGCACTGTAGTACCAATCTACACTGGCTAGATGGTAGCAGTTCATGGCAGAGATGCTTTAGAAGGCAATATTGCTGGTGTGTGCTGCGCATAGTTAGAAGTTCCCCTAGCAACTTTAAAAATGGATTACGTTTCTCTTGCCTACCCTTTAAGTTTTGCTTTGTAGAGTTTACTCCTGAATGAATGCCTGGATGTGTCTGCATCAAATGCAAAATACCTCAGCACTAGTCAAAGCAGCCCTTTGTGGCTCTGTTGGCATGGGACTCTGCTAAAAAACCTCCAAGCAGCAGCACTATCCTGAGCCATGTCAGCTCAGCAGAAGCAAAATTCATGTGACTGCATCTAAACCTGCAGATACACCCTCTGAACTGATGACTACACTCTCCAGACAAAATGAATAAAGCCTCAACCTCAAAATTTGTAAGAATCAGAAAAAGCATAACAAAAGAGCAGTAGGCATTTGTCGTGGTTTAACCCCAGCCGGCAACTAAGCACCACACAGCCTCTGGCTCACTCCCTTCACAGTGGGATGGGGGAGAGAATCGGAAGGGCAAAAGTGAGAAAACTCAAAAGCAAAAGCCGCGCACGCAAGCAGAGCAAAACAAGGAATTCATTCACCATTCCCCATGGGCAGGCGGGTGTTCAGCCATCTCCGGGAAAGCAGGGCTGCACCACACGTAATGGTTACTTGGGAAGACAGAGGCCATAACTCTGAACATCCCCCCCCTTCCTTCTTCCCCCAGCTGTATATGCTGAGCATGATGCCATATGGTATGGAATATCCCTTAGGGGTCAGCTGTCCCAGCTGTGTCCCCTCCCGACTTCTTGTGCACCCCCAGCCGCCTCACTGGTGGGGTGGGGTGAGAAGCAGAAAAGACCTTGACTGTGTAAGCGCTGCTCAGCAGTAACGAAAACATCCCTGAATTATCAACACTGTTGTCAGTACAAATACAAAACATGTCCCCATACTAGCTACTACGAAGAAAATTAACTCTAGCCAAGCCAAAACCAGCACAGCATTAATTCCCCAAAGTTCTTTAGCCAAAGGAGCGCACTTTTTTTTCCAGTTTTGCCTTAATTTAGCTACATAATCCTTTTATTGTTTTTCTCAAGAAACCAGCGTAGTTGGTGTGACCAGCTAACCCCATAGAGGCAAGAACAGTTTGTAACCCTTTACAGTCATTCATATATGGTTTCTTACCTTGCCTACTTCCTTCTGAAGTACTGAACAGCAACTAAAACTTTGAAATGCTGAAAAGCCACACTGGTTTCATTTTCCAGGGACTCAGACATGGCCAAAGAGATCAGCTGAAGTTTTTTAACAAAAACTCTCATCACAGAGCCCAACAACAGAAAATTTCAGTGGAAGAAATTTTTTTTTCTGGAGAATGAATAGATGGGAGTAAAAGAACCTCTTTGTTCTTGACTGGGATAGCCCAGTCTATGGTATAAGAATTTGGTGAAAGTCTTATGATTAAAGTATTGATGTAACCTTTTCATTCTATGTTGTGTGAGATTTGATATCAAATTTTACAGAGGTAATTTCATTCTTTGTCCCACTGTATTACTGCCCAGACACTGGCAGCAACTCTATGTACTTCTAGATTCTGTAAAGAGGTCTTGCATATGAAGTTCTAGAGGTGTTTCAGCCCAGCTATTAGTAAGTAAAGAACTGTGGTTTTGTATAATTTTTACCAACACAAAGAGGACATTCTTTCCTGCAAATCAGAAACATATTCCTCTGAGTAATGTCTAGCTTTATCTGCAGGAATACCCTTTAGCTCGCCAATGTTGCAGCATCTATGCTTTTATAGGAAACGTAATCAGGGTAGGAAATTGAAAACCCATCTGAGAACTTTTTAGGAGAAAATGGTACATATGCACATCCTATACTAGGTCTGAACTTGGCTTCGAGAAGCTTTCATTTAACTGTAGTCTGAGTTTATATTACTTGAGCAGTAATCACAGTTCACAAACATCCTATGACAGAGCTTGTTCTGTACTGGTATTAATATGCTGAAAAAAATGAACCGATCTTTCTATTTTCTTCAGTCCTGAAAACATCATTTTTACGTAGCGTTGTCTCAGCACATCCTTCCTTACTTGTATGTTACTATGTGAAGATGAAGCACTTTACAACACAAGCAAGGAGGAGTTCCTGTCTGATCAGATCCTGTTCTAAAAGCTCAGTACTACGGACGAGAAGAGGAGATTTGGCTTAGAGCCCAGTAACAGAGTGATAAGATCCCGTGCTAATTTGGAGAGCTTATGTTACCTGTCCTGCAGGTTATGTGGCACATTATGTGTTCATGAACTGGATGACCATAATTTATAGTCTCCTGACAATGTGACAGCATTAGGAAAAGAATGGCAAACATGTGTTACACATTAGAAAATCCATTAGGATGGCCTGGAAGATTTTGGTGGCAGTAAAGAGATGCAAATGTAATTTTACGAAAAGAGATTACTGTTGCACTTTAATTCTGGAGTCTCATAAATGTAGTGATGTTCCTCCTTTGTTTCCAATATCAAGAGGCTGCTTATTTACCCCAATGCTGTTATTGATTTATTTTGTAGAATCCCACTCAATGTGAGAGACATTGTCTACTGTACAGGAGTTTCACTGATGGATGAAGATGTATGGGAGTTCATTTGGATGAAATTTCATTCTACCACAGCAGTGTCTGAGAAGAAAATATTATTAGAAGCCTTAACTTGCAGTGATGACAGAAACTTGCTCAACAGGTACAAAAATATTATATATCTGTAGGTGACTATTTCCATTAATCACTTCAACACTTACGGATCATCTCTTGAGCTTTGGTGTAAATGAAAGAACTTCGCTTTTGAAAAGACAACTTTTCAAGCGAAGTTGTCTGTTGAAACTGTCTTATGGTTTTGCATCAATGCCTATGACAATTGACATATATTAGGTCTTTTCATTTCCAGATTTTCCTATGTTCATTGGAAATGTTTGAAATCCTATAATAATTGCTGTTATTTTTTTTGTTAGAATATCCTTTATTTAAATGTATTGACGAGTCTATCTTACTGATGTCATAAAAAAAATGCACATCTAAAATTCCACTCAGCTTTCTACTGAAATCCTTTTACATCAAGATTTTTCTGATTCATAAATCTATCTGGTTTTTGGAATCATAGAAAGAAACCACTGAACTCACTTGGGGACTTAAAATATTTGGCAGTGATTTTTTTTTTTTTCTGAGAGTTTTCTGATGTGCTGTTGTTAGACTATGTGTTGGTGAATCTAAATAGGATTTTTTTATTTCCTTGTTTCTCCCACTAGGCTTTTGAATTTGTCTCTCAACTCAGAAGTCGTCCTGGATCAGGATGCAATTGATGTGATAATCCACGTAGCTCGAAATCCACATGGAAGGGATCTTGCTTGGAAGTTTTTCAGAGAAAAATGGAAAATATTAAATGCTAGGTAAAGATAAAAAGTCTACATTTATTTTCATTTTCTTATTTTGATGTAATTTGTGTAAGTATTGTCTATTTATATATTCATGTAAGTTCCTGAATCTAGTCCATTCTCTAATTCATAGAGGTGTCTCTAAATATGAAATATATACATATGAGTCACAAATGCATTTATTCATAGATTATCACACTCATGCATAGAAACATTTATCTCTTAGCAATCATCTGTATATATATCTATTACTGTATTGTGTCTGCACTTATGATAATGAATTCTGTCTATATGTCAGGTGCTGCAGTTTTACTTTTACATAGATAAAAAAGCAGCAGTTCCCAAAGGAATTTTGCTGCTTTTAAGTCCGATAGAAAAAAAATATTTTCAAGAACATTATTTCAACTGTGGGAAAAAACCCACCAAACCCATTTTAAAATATTTCCGTTTTCAAAAAGATGTTAATATAGTGTCATCCCCTTTCCTGCCGCTCTGTGTTTTAAGATGAGTTTCAAGTAATGGAGGAGCAATATTTTAAATTAAAAATAGATGAACAGGAAGGAGACAAGGTTGTTCCTTATACCTACCTCTCTTTCTCTTTGAACAGTGCTCCTACATGCTCCTACTCAGAAGGCCAGGCAACATTTTAAAATCCTTTTTGATGAAGATTTTGATATTAATTCAATGAATGAGAATTTTTTTTAGTTCTTTAGGGAAAGCCTGAGGGTCTGAAAGATTTCACAGCAGCTCATCTGACACAAACAGGTTAGAAGGGACTACAGCTCAGATGAATTTCAAGGTCTTAAAGGCAGCTGCCCAAGAACTTCAGACACCCCACACCAGGCCATTCCCATGGTGTTGGCAGAAAAATTATTAGAGATCTGTTTCATTCTGGACTTGTGAGGAGCCATCTAGTGTACCACAGAATATTTGAAATGGTCTATTTAAGACGCTGTGATGAATACAGGTACAAACTTACTATAGGTTTCATGGCATCAAAAGAAGAGTCAAGGAAACTCAAAGACTGTGCAACTTTCCTAAATATTCAAAAAGTTGTTCATGCTTTTTTGGATAATACTTTATAGTATAGTGGGATTTTAGAAGAAGTTCATCTGGGAAAATAGGTTTGTGCTAGAACTGGTTTTGGAAGTTTGTATTGCAGGAGCATACTATTTGAAAGCAATTGTCAAAAAGCTTAAAGACTGCTGAGGGTTTAAAAATTAAGAATCCTCCGCTTCTGGTATGACTATTCCAGGAACCGGACTTCTACACAGAAAGTGGATGGCAGACCCATTACTAATGTGAAACCCAGTGCAGTTAGTTATGCTCTGGATAGCAAATATTTTTCAGGTTCTTCCAGGGGTTTATACAGAGTTTAGGCATAAATCTGTCAAAATCTGTATTGCTGCAAACACATACGCAGAAGTTGTGTCTTGTCTTAGCAAGTACGTTCATCTGACAACTTAGCTAACACTTGTGATTTTAGACATGGACAAGATTAAGCAGTGTAGAGAAATGGACAAGATTTAGAAAGCTATGCCACATGCCAGATTTTTTGTGTTTTCATTTTAAATAGCTTACCTCATCTAGAATTTGAATTTTAGTTGTCTCACTTGGAATGCATCTCCGTGTTACCTGAGTTCCTAACAGTCAGCAAGGCCTCATCGAAAACCAGTTATTGTCCTTTTTTTCCTGAGAAAAGAACAGAGAGTCTGTGTCTTTGCCCAAGACTAACTTTATGTTATCTATATTCAACAAGTCAGAGCCACCAAAAGGATTGTAGCAGTTGCATTTTTCTGAAACGGACATCCAGCTGGGTTTCTGTCAACTGCCAAAGGATTCAATGCAGTGAAATGAAATAGTTCATGCAAGCTGTACTTATGTGATGTATATTAAAGATAACTTTGTTTTGTAGTTATAGATTAACAACTTTTAAGAGAGACTTTGAGAGGGTGGAATTAGTCTAACACCTTGCCCTTTAATGTTCAGTGAGACAGTGACATGACAGAATGCAAAATGAGGCTTCTGATTTAAGCTTGCCACACCAGTACATTTTTAAAATACAAGCTTTATTGCAGAATTATAGTTCAAGTATACTCTGTCCCAAGGCATCTTTTTTCTACAATTATAATTTATTATTTAATTTTATTTACAATTCAAATGTTTTGTACGAAACATTAATTTAATGAGGTGATATCTCAATGGTATTTTCCACTGAATTTATTATAAAAGTTGTTGATGTTTGTAATAGTAATATGAAATAGCTGAGGGTGATTAAATTATACTATAACTGTTTCCTCTAACTTTAAAAGTTAGAATGACAACAAAATACTGTTATCCATCTATATTTTTACAGTATGCTTGTATTGACATTGTCCAGAAGATACTGATAATGTATAAAGTCTTCAAATTCACTGATATCCCATTTACAAAGGTGACTTAGAAATTGAGGTGCCTAACAAGTCTTTTGTAAGAAATCCATGGGACTAAGACTGCTAAAATTCTGAAAAAGAGAATTGCAAATACTGTGCTTGAATTCCTGTCACCTGAGCATGCATTGCCTCCTAAATAATTTTCATTGTGTTTGCACGCTTGTGTCTGTGTGTGGAAATTAATCCAACAGCTATTATATATACACACCTATAAGAATTCCTTCATCCTCAAGCGCGGAGTCATTTGTCAGCATTTGGGAATTTGACAGTATTTGGGAAGCCATTTACATCTGTCCAAAGTAAATGGACTATTCTGCCCCTCAAGCTGAGTTTGCACAAGTGCGAAGCCTGCACAGATGTGAGGCATTGGAGGTTCTCATCCCCAGAAATAAAGGAGCAGGTGGAGAGCCCATGACTCCAGGATTTTTCCAGGGTGCTCAGGCCGGTAAAGTCCTGGTTCTCCAGGGCTGTCATCTTTCCTGTGAAGAGTGGGAAGACATACTTGCAAGACCAAACACTTTTTCTGTTTAATCTTATGTTTTACACCTGCAAAGTACTATTTTGGGAGGTGACTTTTCTAGAATTTTTGCCAGGAAAGCCTGTTTAGACATGGCTGCTAGTGGCTGACTTGTTACCTAGTATGTGGAATGGGCAGCAATCAGCACAGCTATTCATGAAGGTATGTTGTGGTTATGTGTTTTGTGTCCCGAAACCAGGACAGGTGTCATTTTCAGTGGAAGGAATTTTGCAACTCCTTGTTTGCACTGTGGCTACGGTACAGACTGCAAGAAAAATAAAATCCCTGCAGCTGTTTTTATGAGGTCACTTCTGTAAAGTGGATTGGTAACCTTGTCAAAAGACCCCATCAAGAGGAGCTTCCAATTTTCCAAGCAGTCAATTATGAGGCTAAGCTGAGACTGTAATAATAAAGGGCTTTGTTAGAAAGCCTAAACGTGCTTAAAGGACCATGAAATCCATACTTCCCATAGGAGGTGTTTGCCTCTGGATGTCTGTATATGTCAGTGTGACTGAAGTTTTGGAAAAAGAGATGTACTTGATGAAATATCCATGAATAATTCAGTTATTAGTGGTCAGGGAATAGGATTTTTGATACCTATAACTGTGTTTACCCTCACACAAGCTCAAGGTGGCAAGCAACACAGTGTACACCTTCCCTAAGATGGAATCTTCTTCAAAAAAACCCCAATTCTCTTCCCTCTCCCTCTTTCTATCCTTCTCCCTGGGACTATCCCTCTTCCTTTCTCTTTCTTTCTTTGGAAAGGACTGGAAACATTCCAGGTCAGGTTGGATGGGGCTCTGAGCAACCTGATCTAGTTGATGATGTCGCTGCTCACTGCAGGGGTGTTGGACTAGATGGCCTCTAAAGGTCCCTTCCAACCCAAATATTCTATGATTCCATGAGACTGTGGCTTACAGTACCTAAGCATTTAAGGGTAAATAATTTAACATTAATAGAAGCAGAACAGAAAGCTGTGACTGTTCTAGTTCATTTCACTTTGAATTTTGAATCCCTCTTCTAAATCAGTTTGTAAAAGTGGGGTATGAACTGAATTGTTCCCCTAGATGAATTTAATTGCCATGAAGTCTATTGGTATTACTTACACATGTCTGGCAGGAGAGCTGGATTCCCTATCTTAAAAATGGTCATGTTCAGATTAGCTAGATATTGCTTCGGATGTATGTGCAGATAAAGATAGGGATAACTATTTGTCAAGTGCCTCTTGCCAGGCTGTATGACATCTAACTTGAACAAAAGACTTGCTTTCGGTTTCCAATGGAATTACATTCATCATAATGGAGACTTTGAAAAGAAACCCCACAAACTACTCCAACGTGAAATGCAAAACGTCGAGTGGTCTGGTTAATCTTATAAGTGATGTAGATGCTTCATTTGGGAGACTGAAAAAAAAACTTGTGGAAAAATGAGTGAAACAGCAGGATTTGAATGACCAGTTTCAAAGCAACTGCCTTCAGAAGGTCATTGCTGATTGCGGCTGAATATCTTACCCCATTATACATAGGCCATCAAGCATTCCTTGCCCATGCTTTCAAATTTTCATTCCAGGTTGGTTCTTTGAAGATGCTGCATCATGGCCCAGGGCATTATTTTGGCAGTACTATTCTCTATCAGTATTATTTATTTTAATTACCAGGTACTGGAACAAGAGAATTTGATTCAGTTCACCTACCTAGAGGCTATTTGTAATGTAGATGAGGTAGATGAGTACAAAATGCAGAGAAGGATGCAGCACTTCAAAAAGTCTGTTTTAATGGTACCCCTAGAAGGGTTCCTCAGAATGCTTCTCCATAGCTGCTGCTCTGCTCCTTCTTTGGTGCCTGTATTTTGAGCTGCTTCATGTCATTACATGGAAGGCTCTTTCATTAAGCGTGGGATGGTGGTGTGGTTTGGTACTCTCCTCCTCTGGAGCTCTCATCGGTGGCTGCAGTTAAGCCCATTCTGCTTAGCAGCATCCAACTAAAAGTTAACTACAAATAGGTCAGCCTAGAAGGAGGTCCTAGTCCAGGTTTTTAGCGTGAAACACTGGAATAACTGTCCAATTCCAGTACTGTTCCCTTGGATCCCCAGAAGAGATCTCCCTTGCTTACAGAAGACTACTTTCTAACTTTCAGCTGGCCTGGCACTTGCACTAACTCTCTCCATTCTCTTTTTGCCCTTGCAGGTATGGAGAAGCATTATTTATGAATTCAAAGCTTATCAGTGGGGTCACAGAATTCCTCAATACCGAAGAAGAACTGAGAGAGGTAATTTTTAAATTCCTTTCGGCACATGAGGCTGTGTTGGTTGCAAGCAGGGAGCAGGGCAGGAGCAATAAGGTGTCAGTTGTCCAGGAACTCTGGTTGCTCAGCTGGAGTCGCAGGCCCGTGGTACAGCTGGGACGCACGAGGGTGAGGAGCAGATCGCAAAGGCACCCACGTGGTTAGAGGTGGTGTCAGGAGGTGGGTAGTGCAGGCCCTTGTCTGTGCTCGACTGGATATGTAGGTTTCTTTTTTTTCTCTTGACCATTAGTTGAGAAACTATAGATGAGATCTTTCTATCCACATTAGTTTGTGCTGCAGAGGGCAGCCCTAAAAATACCCAGTGTTGGAAGTAGAAGCGGACAGTGCCTTCTCTGTTTTCCTTTTGCCTGCAGTATTTCCATGTGAGAAAAACTGTTAACCTGATGTTCGGGCCAAATGACACCACAATAATTTGTTCTAAATGCTAAGTACTTCTTATTTAGATTGCAAAGACTTCTCATTTTAACTTAACATTTGCCCTGACCGAGGTAGTTGTGTGGTTGTGTTATGCTCTTCTTATCAGCTGTTCGACATTACCCCAAATGGATCAAATACTTCTTATGCAGCGTAATCACCATTAATTGAACTCTGATTGTGCTATGATATTTTGTGTCCAACCATTTCTCTGCACTCAAATCTAGTGGCCTCAGGAACTTAGGGAAGAGCCACAGCTGGGTTCCTCAAAGCTACCCAGGTAGGAGTGACAGTGCTGGTCAGATTTGAGTATCTGCGCTGCACAAGGAAGCCTTCTGTATTCTTAGTTTCCACCTCCATGATAGCATTTGCAGGCTGCTTGTTTATACTTCCCCTGAAAGAAACTGGCCATGTAAACATTTTGGTATAAAAAGTCCAGAGATCAGGTAAGGTCTGATTTTGATAGTTTTCAGGTCCCTCCCATGCTTTTAACTGTGGTGGGAATGACATAGTTGCAGGATGAGCCTTTTCAGTTTTGTGCCCATGCACAAAGAGACGTTGTTGGAAGATAGATTTAAACAATCAAGGTGAATTTGGTGTCACCAAGAAACAAAAATTACCTAGTTAGTAAGTGTTGCTAAAACCACCCAATTTTATAAAAGTCAACATAACCAGCAACCTACTGTGCAGATCAACCTTGCAATTCTCACTTAAAAAGAACTCTAATTCAAAGCACACTGGTGCCATCAGCTGTAATAATCCAGGTGATAGTGCTATAATTTGAGTATATGCAAGAACAGAGCAGGGGCCTTTTAGTCTGCTGAAAGATTTCTCATAAAGGAAAGAATCTGTTTCAGGCTTTCAAAGATCTTCAAACAAGTGCCCACTTGCTATTTTGCCATTCTCTTCACACTGTAACCATCCCTTCCTTTTCTAAACAACTGACCTGTATTATATCATCAAAAGGGTTCTGCAAACAAAAATGAAATTAATTTATGAAGCTTGATAAAACCAAAGGGCATCAAGACTACCTTCTGCTGATATTTGCACATAAACCTGAATTAGAAGCATTTCCAGTGCTCCCAGTTTGATTTCTTAGGTAGAAATAAAAGTTTAGAGCAGCCCAGCTGTCTGTGCAATGCAGCAGCTGGGCTACGGGAGAGAAGGAGATAATGACATTAATGTGATCCGGCACTGACATGTCAATATCTTCCAGTGCAATTTGAAGCAATTGCATCACGTATAATTGACAGTCTGCTGTCTTATTACATTTCCTATTAAATCTTTCTACACGATAGTACCTTTACTTCAACGTTGATCATGGGGGCTTGTCCTAAATGCCTGACTTGTTTGTGTGCACTGGAAATAGTTCCTTTGCAGGAGATTTGGTTCCTGCAAAATTAACCTGTTAACCTGTATTTCCAGCTAAAGAACTTTATAAAGAGTTATGAAGAGGGAGCTGCTGCCTCTTTCTCTCGCGCGGTGGAAACAGTGGAAGCCAATGTGCGGTGGCAAAGACTTTATAAGGAAGAACTATTCCAGTGGCTAAGAAAATCCTTGACACACTAGTCTGTCTTTCCAGCCGACCATTTAACATGAGGCTCTGCAAGAGGAAGAGGAGACGTTTTAGGAGTGTTCAACATGAAAATCGTGAAGGCAAGATCAGATTGCAGGGAGGTTTTCTTTTCCTTTTTTTAATTGCGGGATTTTTTTTTTTTTACACTGGGCTCTTGTGAGATTTTCAAGAAGCTTTTCAGAAGAGAAGATCATGAATGCTTGTGAAATCCAATCCTCAGTGTACACAACCAAACATGATATTAAAAGTGGTGCATGTAAATGTTGAAGAAAAACAAACAAAAAACACTTCAAAGACTACTTTGTGCATGCTTGTACCGTCCCTGCCTGTATTCTAGCATGCTTACGTATAACAGCCACATTTTGTATGTGAGTTCCAGTTACATCAAAGATGGGCATTATACAAAGCACAAAGACTATCTATGACAATCAGTGTTTCAACGAACATAAGGAAAGGAAGGAAAAGGAAATGCAGGTGGCTTCCAACTTGGGGCAGTATGAGATGTAAAGTCAACTTTCCTGCTAGCTGCCTATTAGTCTACCACTCAGATTGTCTCTTAATGATTACAAAGATGCCAGCTCATATTTTCAGTTGCCAGTTGTTGTATCTGCAGTCTCCATATTCCCATATTTACCTAAGTGGAATATAGAGAGAGAGGAGGAAGAGAAAGGGAGGGGGGGAAGCAAGAAAGACATCATCCATGCATTATGATCATGCACATTTATTCACTGCTGATCAATGGAAGAGTGTAGTTTTAGCTGTGAACATATGCAGTGTTGGAAGGGAACTTTGTGTTGATTTCACAGAATCCATGAACCACCTCTTTTCAGCTATTTTACAAGGCAGTGATTGATACTCACTGATGGGTCACCCAACCTGTGCATTAGTAAGTTATGCAGCTGATAGTGGACAAGTATTATAAATAAACATGAGATTCAAAAGGAAATTAACAAAAATGGAGAATATCTTGCATGCAAAGACATAAAATTACCCAAGAGAGCTGTCTTGCATGTGGTAGACCAGCCTCTGTAGCGATTTATTATGATAAGACAGGTCAGATTCTCTGTGTGGGCAATACTTTTGCAAATATGGGATGTACCATTTATGCCAACTTAGAAAAGCGAAATATGGAGAGAGAGAGAGGGGAGTGTATGTCTGTTTATTGGTACTGGCTCTTTTCTTTCCGTTTCCTTGTTTTTCACATAGACTATTGTAGCTGAATGATGCTTTTCTTAATCACTTGTTTGTTTCTTTTTTCTCAATCCTTAATCTGAAAGATAGTGACACAGTGGAACTGCTACTTGTACAATGACTATCTGCACCATTGGTGCTAAGTGTTGAGGATAAAACTGATCTGAATACTCTGCCATGTCTACACTGTGGAGAAAAAAACCCACAAAACTACAGAGAGATTTCAGGAGGCAGATTGCAGCAGCTTCAGAGGGGGAGCGTAGATATACAACAGTGTTTCTTTATCCCAGCCCAGCCTATCACAACCATCCGACCACATCGTGACCCTGTACATCAGGAGCATGTGGCCAGCCAAAGTAGAAGGCAGCCATTTTACCTGGTTGTTTCCTTCACAAGGTGTAGAAGTTACTAACACACTTTACAGTTGCAGCTGATTATCCCCACTAAGTTGTGAATTGAAACCTTAGTGCAAAAAGAATCAAACCAAAGCATCTTCAGATGTTATCAGAGTTGTGTGGAGACAGTATTGGTTTCTTGGCCCTCATTCCCATAGTACTCTGCTCCTCAAGAACTGGTAGACACATCTCATAACACTGCATGTTAGCTTAACCACAAATAACCAAAAGAAGAAGGAATCCTGTGCTCTTGTACTGTTAACTCTTTGCCTTATAGTAAGCCCTAAACCTTTGTGCTATGTTGCGATGCTAGTGAACCTAATGCCCAGAGACATTATCATGTCCAAGTTGAGTGAAATCCTCCTCCTCCTATGTATTTTACCTACCTCACAGGGGTGTTGTGAGGCTTGACTAATGTTGGCAAAGCACTTGAATATCCTCTGAGGGAAGGCATTTAAAAGTGCAAAGTATTATTTTATGTGGTTGACCAAACTCAACCTCAATGCCAGTATGTAGCGTCACATTTTTAATTTCTACTGAACAAAATCACATGCAGATTTGTTATAATAAAAAAGCAAGCCAAATATTATTTAGTGTAACCTCTACCCTATAATGCAGGCCAAAATTATGATATCCAAAGAGTGTGCAGAAAACCAAGCCCTCAAACATGAATTGCTTTGAGGATTTCAGAGAAAAGAAGTGTGCATAATGGTCTGTTCCTTTGCAATTTTACTCAAGATTGTCTTCTTTGATGACTTTTCTTTCTCAGCACCACAGATTAAACCACATACCTCCAGGATGTGCATAGGATTTTCTACTCTATCCACTGATAAAGGGCAGGCTAACAGTATGTTCCAAAGTTGAAAGTTTATTTCAGCCTGTGTATTCTGCACAGTGCACAGAAATTTCCACTGTTGCTCATTTGAATTGAAGTTCTTGCACATTTAGCTGGTGTTGGATGTAAATTAATATTTTAGTGGCCTTGAGCGACTGGTCTACCACAGATATCAAGCCCTAAATGTATCTATTATACACGCCTATTGATGTATTGCTTTTAATTGTTGTTTTCTAGTAATGTTGGTATTACTGTTATAGGTAAGGTTAAGCTAGCCTTTCCATTATAATACCCTATTCTTTTATTTTTTATATTTTGTATTTTACTGTTTCACACTGAATCAGGATTAAATTTAAATGAATTAAATCCAACAAAACTATAGCTGTTTTCTACAGTATTCATTCACCCTGCATTTAATTATATGTCTTTAGAAAGTTTTTAAAAGAAGAAGTTCCATACAGGTCTGTGTTAAAGAATAGTTGATACCTCATGGAAAGCTGTAATACAGTCTGCTTAGAAAAATCTATTTATCTTATTGATTTTCTTTCTCCTTTACCAGTCGTTTTCTTCCTTTGTCCTTATCTAAAGATGAACCCTATTTTTACAATTTGGATTGTGATTAGGAAGCCAAATACTCCAAACTTTTCAGAATTTTCAAATCCAGGATTTAATTGTCCTTTCTAGTGAGAGGAGATGCTGCATAATGTGGATCCAGTGTGGACATGGATCTCACCCAGGACCTGCGTGTCATTTTATAGAGATTTGATGAGGCCTGTATCTCTAATCAGCCTTTGTATGACTCGGGATCCTTTGCAGTTATTAATTGATTAGGCTTACTAAATCATATAGGAAGACATAAGAATAGACATGATTTTATGCCAGCATAACAATATACCTATTGTAAAAATACCTATTGTATTTTTATAACATTGTCCATTACAAAAATCTCAGCCTATTACTTTGTAGCTGGTGGAATTATTCATGCATCCACTGCTAATAGCTGCTAAAATGATAGTAGCTACTAGTTGTGACTAGGACAGAACAATGTGAAAACGTTCTTCTGAAATGAAATGTCACTTCTGCTGTTACTGGGAGTACTTGGACATTGACTTTGAAGATAAAAACTTCATATGTCCTTAAGTACATCCAAATTTGTGGCCTTTGGTGATCTTTTCAGTGAATATAGCAAGAATTCCAATCTATGTTGGAAACTGAAGATGAATTTTGTGTAGCTTTTGGGCTCTTGTGGATATTTCACTGAGCTTTAGAGTGTCAAAGGAAATATATCCACTGATGCAGAGGGGTGCTTTCACAGCAAAAATCCTGAACCATACAATTAAATCCTTGTTAGTAAAGAATAAAAGAAGAAAAAAATTTTAATATATATATATTCGCATGAAAAATCCTCCATAGAGATAATTTTCCCATAAAATGTCAGTAAGTCTGATTATTTGGACAGGATAAAGTGAAGCCAGTATTTGCAGATGAGGATGCCTTTGTTTAGATACCTGCATAATAAGGTTTTGGTTTTCCACATGATAGCCGGCATGTTTAGCCGACACCGAAGTAAATGAAAATAGACTTTGAGTCAAATGTGCAACTTTCTCTCTGACAGAAAGGGATGTGGCTTTGAAAACTGTTCATATATGTAATCAACTTACCAGCACTCTTGTTATGAGTACTCACCATATCAGGCTGCCTGTCCTAAGCAGGGTTTATAGCCACAGCGCGTATGAAGGAGGAAAAGTGCCATCCTGCTTCTGCACAGCTTTGGATGGAGCGGTCTGAAAACTGCTGGCTCTATCACCCAGCACAGTTGCCAGCCCAGCTGGGGCAGGAAGGCCCCTGGGAGCCACTGAAGTGCACAAGGGCTCCATCCAAGTTTCTCTCAGCTAGATGGGAGGGACAGAAGGTCCCTTTGCCGGTTATGGGCTGTGGGTGATCTTCAAAGACAGTGTCCTTGCCTTTTGCGGACAGGAAAAAAAGGTCCAGCTAGTGAGCCCGCATTGCCCAGAAAAACCTAAATCCCTGAGCTCTGGTCACCCCAGCTGGAAAAAGTTGACCAAAATATTTGTAAAGGTCTAGAATATTATAATGTCCATTCTTCAGAAATAATTTCAAACAGTCAAATATTTTGAACTTTCAAGTATGCAGAAGAACATAAACAGTCTTTTCCTTTATGATATTTTTGTTAATATTTGAAAATGTGCCATGAGTTTCTTGGGCCTTTTTCTAACAAATGGTTTGGAAGGTTGTCACTACAAATTATTTGTGGTAATAATAGTAGTAATAGTAGTTACTCTACTAATCAAAAAATTCAGATGCCAGTGCAAATCTCTATGGCACTAGTGACTGTGCAGTTCCCTTTTTGCATACAAAACTGTAAAAAAAAAGCCACTTTGTTTCTCATATGACTGTACAATCTTCTACCTATCTTAAAACCAATACTGAAGCCAAGTAAAACCATTCTGACTTGAGCACGTAGTCCACAATGACATGAGTAATTTAATTTTCAATGAGAGGGAAGAGGAGAAAGGGACTGCTGTGTGTAAGGATTTTTCACCAAAGTGAGGCCACATACCCTAGCTGGAGCAGAATTTTAAAATCAAGTATATTTTGGTTTTGGAGCTGGTTAAACTTGGCTCCATCTTGTGTCCATGCTGACAGTGGAGAGTAACTTGACTTCAGAATATCTCTACAATTGAGATCAGATTTTATAAAAGACATGTGGAGCTGGTTTCATTGAGGTGTGTTTGAGGAGAATCACCCATGTGAGCAAGTGCTGTGGGTCAGACCCAATGTCCTTTCGCAGAAAAAAATGCATTTATATTTGGATGACTTGTAACTCGTGAAGCGTGACGTTGCCAAATAGTCTTTCTGAATACTTTGCTTATTTTACGTGCACCGTTTCCTAAGGATATCAAAGCGATGTTGGTAGAGAACATACTGGTGAGCAGCATTGTGAGAACAGAGGGAACTGTGCTGCAG